TTTTTCTTTAAGGTGTTGACCAGTACTTTGGAATTTAAAACTATGTATCCTGAAGAAGGCATAGGAACATAATTTGAATGCAAACTGTATTAAGCGTTCACATCCTGTATCCTAGCAGGAATTTCACCAAACAGGGGAGGTATTCATTGAACTAGGAGCAAAGCAATGTCAAGTTGAGAAGGAAATTACTATGGAAATGAGTTTTAAAAGCCTGAGGCAGATGTAGGGAGAGGCACATTGTACCAGGAATTTTCCTCACACTCTAGTTTATATGGCCTTTCCATTACTTCAACAGCAGCATACAAGAAATCCTTGGCTTGGAACGGTCTCTGAATTTGAGCAGTTTTGTGCTGCTGCTGCAGGTCAGCTTCCCTATTCAGAGAAATGAAACCCAGCCTCAACTAGGACTAGGATGTCTGCTTGGATAGGAATGGCCTTGCTTAGGGCAGACCAGAGGTCGTTTCAGCTCAAGGATTTGTCTCTCTGTGGTCAGTAATGGATGCTTAGGAGGGAATGAGAGATTGAGAGAAATGTATTAACTGCTTTCATACTATATTCTTCCAGTGCTTGGCAAGCAGCAGCTGAGCGGGTCTGTAGATTTAATAGTCCTTCATTAAGGTTTTGTTTTTTCTTCCATAGATCTGTCAGTTATTTCTTTTAATCATGCATTTCAAGGATCTGTATGTTGTAGCAATGACTTACACAGCTAACCTGCACAGTGTGAAGAAATGTCTCCCATCTGTCTAATGATAATGTATAATGTCCCCAACATTTTCATGTGTTAGAGAAGTGGCAAATAAACTGCGTATTCATTTCCTCCATGCCCTTCATGATTTTATAGATTTAGATCATGTTTTCTGTTTGAAGGTTTTTGAGCAATATATAAGTGGATTTTTTTGGCTTAGTTCATTGCAGAAAGATAGTGGTACAAGCAGAAAGTGATATTTTTCAGGAACAGCATACAGGTCCTGTAATGTCTTCCTATAAATTCTGGAATATTCCTGAGGCAGTAGTGGATTCCTGATATGCTCTGGAATAGATAGATTGCAAGTAAGGAGATGTATGTCTTAGGGCAGAACAGAAAATGTTAGTCAAATTGGCAGTAACTGATAAGAAATGATTGTGTGGGAGAGGAGAACAGGTTGTTAATGTATAAATAAGTGTATGTGTTTACAGATTGCTGGTGAACGAATGCAACTTTGAAGAGCTCAGTCTATTCCAGTCCCTCAGACTTTGAAAGGGAATAAACTGTAATCCCCCCAACTTTTTCATTTTTCAGTTTGCTGCTAAAAATATGAAAGGAAGAAAAAGAAAATCTCAATAGACTGAACAGCAGGATTTTGTTAAACAACATGAAAAAGTGAAAATGCTTAATACAGCTCTTGAATTTTCATTCAAAACACTTTAAAACTATTCTGATCACTCCCATTAACAGCAGAAATGTGAGTATCTGTTGCAGAGTTGTTCATGCTTGGCTGTGTCACTGGAGTTGAAATTACATGAACGTGTACAGATTGAACAACTTGACAAAAACTGGTTTAGATACTGAACTGGGGAAGGTGATACAAAGGGAAGTTCCAGTTGGAGGCTGACTCCAACCAAAATAACGTATCTGAATAGCCTGAAAGTTTACCACTTTGTTATATACCCAGCCTTTGTGACAATCTGCTATAGCTTTGATGTGCTAAACTGATACGTTAAATCTGGAGAACGCATATTTCTTCAGAACACAAATTCTTCTGTATTAATGTGTCTTCATTGGACAAGTTTGAAGAGCATGAAAGCTTAGGAATAGGAAACCCTTATGAATTTGTGACCCTTTCCTATATCACATGCAGTAAAATTATTAACTTACCAGGCTCAATTATGCAGTACTATCACTTTGTATATTGATGTTAAGAATAAACTGAAGTCCGGCTAAACTCCTGCCTGCTGGTATCTATTCACTGATTTGAATGGAAGCTGGTTTGGACTCCAGATCCTGTGAATCTCCTACCCAAGAAGAATGTTTACTCTATTTTCCTTCTACTTAGCTAGGAAAGAACATGGGCATGAATGCTTATTTTTCTCTTCTAACTCCCTCTGTATGATGCAGTCGATCTTTTTTTTTTTTTTAACACCTCCCCACCCCTCCTTAATAACTTCAGAAACATCTGCATTATTCTTAAGTGTATATATATAAAATAAATTTTAAGGTAGTTTTAATTATATTTTAATTTACTTTAAATGCCACTGACCTGCATAGTGCAGCCTGTCTATTAAGCCAGATTCAAGAGAGTCTTAGGAGGAACCTGTTGGACAAATAGCCTGGGCAAATCTGTTGATTAACCTGGTTATCAGGTTTGTTTAGGAAATGAGGATATGAGTGCCATACCTCCCTTTTGTGTTCCTTTGTGAGCCTTCCACAGCAGAAATGCACGTGGGAGGACTTCAGTGGCAGTGTCTGTCCCGTCTCTCTGCTACTGATGGGTTAATAGGCTCTAATCAACAGCTTAGAATGTGCTTATGAAGATGCCTACAGGTAAGCAGTAAGAATTTGAGAGCTATGATCAAGGTCACTTACCTTTTTTAGTCTGTTCTCATTTTAGCCACCTCCTCTGTTTTTGGCCCTCGTCCCAGGCTCTGCCTCTGCCCAGTGTGTTGCTGATGATCCGAGCAAGTCACAGTGCTGTGCAGTGTAAGAACTGAAAGTAAGTTAATGAGGTCTTGCTGCCTTATCTCAAGTACCATGCAATGTGTCATACTTGCTCTCTGATTAGGGTGAAGGTCTTTCCTGTCACTCCTGTGGCTCCTGAAGGACTAACCTTGGAAGACCTGTTGCTTTTCATGGGCTGGAAAGATCTGGGATCCCTACATCCCAGTGAACAAGCATGTAAAGAACTGAAAGGGCATAAATGGAAAATCAAATCCTCTCCTAGAAGAGAAATAAATGAAGTGTAGGAATAACAGCTTTAAACAGTAGTTACCTCCATAAACTACGAATTCTATAAAACAATAATTGTGTCTGCCAGTTAGTCATCTTCTAGTTTGTGTAGATTCATGGAATATATTTATTGGCAGTTCTCAAAACAGGCCACCCTGTACTTGCCCAAGTGTTTCACAGTATAGGGGGCATGTTGAAGCCTGTCCATTTTCCTTTGCACCGCAGCCAATTACTGCATTTAATTATTCTTTGCCTACATCTCTGTATATATTTCTCTTCAGCATTCAACCAATTTTTCTAGCAAGAGCCATTGCTAACAACAGGTTGATACCATGCAGTAGAAAACTTGCACTGACATCAATGGTGTTTGTTGCTTTTGAGCCTCTCCAGCCCTGAGAGCCCTATTAAAATGTGCAAGACTTGCCTGTAAGGTACTGGGTGTTCTCAACTCAAGCTGGAGTCAGTCAGCATGTCTTTGCCAGCAGATGCGCCTGCATGTGATAATACTGGCAAACCTAAACTTACATTAAAAAAGGCTTCTAAAGACTCATCAGAACTCATCCTTCTGCACAGCTCCACAGCCAGCTACAGATACTGAAGCAGTGCAGGAGGGCATATATGAAGTTGTAAAGAGGTTATGGGAGAGACGGCTTGATGGAGCACCAGAGATTGTGGTGTCCAAGTAGAGACAAGAGCCAGGGCAGGTACTCAAGAGGCAGTGGGGCTGTGCTAGCCAGCAGGGCCAGCCCTTTTGGTTTATTTTGGTGAAAATCCTTTTCAAATATTCACTCTCAGGCTACCTCAGGGTATCTTGCTGTGGATTTGAGAATACAGAACGAAGTTCAACTGACCCATTTTTAAGATAAAAAGTAGTAAAAAAAAAAGGAGCTTTTCTACAGTTTTTGTATGTCTAACATAACACCCCAAAGAGCTTGGCCTTGTTTTTTTTTTTTTTCTGTGAGCCCAATATTATTAAAACCTAGAAATTTTATCCTACAGTTTGTACAATTTTTCACATGCTCTGGTGCTCTGAAGAGTTTTCCACTCTCTTTATCCACCCAGAATCAGTAAGTGTAATGTCCAACTTGTTTTCCTGTAGTAATCTGCTTTTTTACGTAAGGACAAGATGCGTCCTAACAAATACAGCCTATTGGTGCTCTGCAGAGATGTTTTGAGATTGTCATTAGACACTGGGGAGCAAGAGCAGCTGCCTTTCTCGGAGACCCCAGGTCTGCAGCCTTTGAGCGTTTCGCCTTGCTGCCAAATGAGAACCCTAACACAGATCTTCCTTCTTGCTCAAAACCCAGAGAATTAAGCTCGTGTTTCCTGCTCTGTGATCTCTCTGTATAACAGACTTGTTTTTACATCCTGATCAGAAGTTGAGAATTCAGGAAAATGTCTGCCTTTTATGAAGAGAAAGCTTGCAGCTTCTTCCCCATAGCAGCCTGTTGTTATGGCTGGGGACAGCAGGATGGGTTAATCGTGGCCCCATTTCCTGAGGTCTCCTGCAGTCATGATTTGTGAATGCCTGAGAATACCCCTGCTGAATTCTAATTGTTTGTGGCAGTCGGCACATGATTTCAAGTGTTTGGTCACAGCAGTGTTCGTTTTCTGCTCTTTTAATCTTTGATGGATGTTGCCTGGCTTCACTGATGTGGTTCACAACACAGTAGGCAGTGATTTCCTATAAGATGTTTTGTCTCGACTGCAGAGGTGTGGAGTCCCTGTACGATGGCCAGTATTTATTAATGACATCCCAAGGTTCCTAAAGAGAAAGCTCTGCCGTAGACCATTAGAACCTAATCTATTCCAAAATGTCAGATGCAGTTAAGCAAGAGCTATCTCGATTGCACTAAGATCTTCCTCATTAGTTCAGACTCTGATTAGAAGACTGATTAAAGTCTGCCTTTGTAAAGGTTCACTATCTCTGCAGATATCGTTACTATGTAAGACATGATAGAACTAGCTCAAGGCTCACACAAATGCTAGAACTGAAAAGCATTTCTGTGTATGTGTGTGCGCGGTCATTCATGCCCATGCAGGGCACATGCGGGCTTGTTAAAATGCTCTTAATTAGTAACATGAAAAATATTAATTTATGAATATGAATGGCTTTGAGTTTTACTGTACCTTTCAGACAATTCAGCTGCTGTTATTAGTATGCACTTGTATAAAAGGTCAAATTTTCGTATCGTATGTAAAGCTGTAGGATTAAGATTTTAACAGCAATTTGAGGGTTGCTGGGAAACAAAGTATTTTGTGCAGAATATTTGGTATCTGAGATCATTATGACTAGCCAAATTGCTTCCTGTGATTTAAACATTGCTCTTGCTGTTCACCCTAACCTATGTGGTTGTGGTAGTGCTGAAATAGTCTAGGCTCCTCCTAATGTTTTACCTACAAATAACATTAAGCTTTGGCATATGTGTTTGCATTTCTCATGGTTGCAATTTCATATATAAAATCTTAGAAGACAGGATTGTTGATTGATTATGTGTTTGTACAGTGCTTTACGCAATAGGGATGAGGTCTTTGGATATTTCTGGAGCTTAGATAATAAACTGGCATTATCAAGAAATAAGAACATCCATGAGGCAACCATCAGAGCTTTCAAATGATTTTGCAAGATGTAGGTCCTAAAAAGAAAAAAATAAAAATTAAAAAAAATGGAGCTTTCCACTTTTATTCTTGAGTATTTTGTAGTTAACTGCTTTGTGCATGAATCATTTTACAAACACCTTGTAGGCTACTGAGAAATAAACCAGAAGAGAAAGACAGCTTTAAAAAATAGTATGCAAGTCAGTGGTCTCAAAAGCGCTGTTTCCAGTCTTGTCACATTAATAACTAAACACTGCTGCCAGTTGATGGCTTCGGTATGCATGTGAGAGAGAGAGCATAATATCCAGTGGTCATATTGGTCCAGTTACCACTGAACAGATAGATTGTTTAATTATTGACAGACTTCAGCAGGGAGGCCATGCTCTTGAGGACAGTAACCACTTGTATACTGCTTCTGAAGTTAGCTTTAGACTTTGGAGGACCATTTACCCTTTTTGTGCCAAAGTCAATCTCAGTCTTGTTCAAGAATTAATAACTAATAATAATCTGTTTTATCATGGATTTGATGAATTCTGAAAAACCTTTTGCGCTGATCCTTTTTGGGGTAAGGTTACTAGGGTTGCCAAAGGTGGCAGCAGAGCTGCTTCTTGTGAGCTGTCACAGTAACATCATGTCATAGGATCAAGACAAAGCCAGATCCTTCTACTGCAGAGTTGTCTGCTGACTAACTTCTAATTAGCTTTGCCAGATTTATCACAGACCTGCTGTCTGCTGTCAGATGTCCTGCACAATTGATGCAGTTGTTTGTCAAAGGCTCTGCTTTGTCTGTATTTCAGTGGTTGTGATCGTTTAGTTAAACCCAAATTTTCTGAGTGCCAGCCCAGTGTTCTTATGCCCTGCTCTGTGTGACTTCCAATAAATCAGTTAATTTCAGTTAACATATAGAAGAGGAAGAAAAAATCTGAGTTCTCCACCAGTACAGCCTATACACACGCACATATATATGCAGGCACACACCTTGCGAATGCTATGAACTGCTTTCCTCTTCCAGAATCTCGAGACTATGTTTACTCTTCTTGAATGAAACAGAATAAATAATAGTGTGGATAGACAGCTGACCAAGTAAAAGAGTGCCTTGGGGGCTGTGACCACAGGTTGTTAAGATGCTGTGCCACGGACTTGAGGGAAAACAGTTACATCGTAATTTATTTCCCAATTTAAAGTTTAATTCCTCCTTCCAGTGCTCTTTTCAGGAAACATCTACCTTGCATGGAGAGAGGGTTTTTCTTCAGAGCACCTGCACCTGCTGATGACTAGCTGGGCTTGAGAGTGGTTCTGAACATCAGGTCTGGCAGTTTGTCTGGTGGTGGGTCTCAGCTTCTACTAGTGGTAGACTCTGCAAGGCAGTATCTGCTTTTTCTTCCATGCCCTCCTAGACCTGCAGGGTGCACTTCCAAAAGGTATTTGAAAAGTGTCAGCTCACATCTCATTTAAACCTTAAGACCAACCTACTGCAATTTTATATCCAGAGATGCTTTAACAAGGAAATGTTGCCTCTAACAAATCACTGTGAAGCAGATCCTCGCCTCTATCCTGCTGCTATTAACTTAATTCAGTAATAAGAAGTTACAGGTCTAGTTAAATTCATCCTATTACATAGTCTCCAGGGTTGGTTAATTCCTAAGGGATACCTTCTGTGTTTGGAAACCCCAGAGTGAAGTGCTATAAAGTCAAGATAGGAGCTGTCTAGTTTCCTTCCCAAATAATAAGAGATTTAGTTAGAGATGTTAAGATACTGCCAAAATCCTGAGCTGCCTTAACTATCGTGAGACTGCTAGGCAGCAGCAAAGTTGGTTGTGCTGGGGATGATTAAGTCTCTTAATTCCAGGATTAAGGAACTACAAAGGTAGCATCAAGTCATATTTGTGCATGACCCTTTCTGTAGTGAGAAACTGGGCACAGTTCACTATCAGGCCTGCTGCAGTATTCATAAGCTATATAATCTCCATCAACCCATGTCAGTGCCGTTACTCTGGTCTCTACCTATGAAGAAGAGTGCAGATGATGAGAAAAGATTTTTGTGGTTGTTATGTCCTGTAGGCACTGTTAGCACAACATAGCCTGGTATCAAATCTTTGTGTCTCTGTCATTTAGAGTGGAGACAAAGTCATAGGAAAGCAAAATTAACAACTACTAATAAATGGTTGGTAGAAAATCCAACCTGTGGTTAGTTTTTAAACTGTCTGGTCAGCCCTGACTCGTAAAGCAAGAAGTATTCAATCGGACTATGAAAATATATGGTGCTGGGTAAGGATCCTTGCTACCTGATATTCATCTTAACTTACTAATATCCTGTGTCATCAGGAAAGTGGCACAGCATGGGCTTGCTTAATATGAAAATTTACTGTCACAGACATCTGTAAATGTATCACTGGGTGTATATATAACACAGATCAAGATGTAGGATGTTGGAAACAAATTCTTGCCACAATTTTGGGATGAACTCATTACATCACTGATGGTAGAGCCAAGAATGAGTTAAGCAGTCTTCCCAGACAAATGTCAGTAGCAGCTCTACAATATCTCACACCATCAGAGATTGCTGGATAAGTCTCATCCTCTTAAAAAGCCTCATTGTGCTTTTTAACTTTTGTTTTTCAAAGTGGAGTTGCTGCACTGCAGAAAAAAATCATGTCATTGGCATGGGTGTAGCTTATTAGTTTTAATAGCAATGAGTTATGCAGAATACAAAATGCTATTATGTAATTGCTTTGAATATTATACCATTACTTGAGAAATATGGGAGCTAGTATGATAAGTATCATGTTAACATGGCTGACACTTTCCTTTCCAATCCAAAGGGGAAAAAAAAAACTCGTCTAGTTAGCATGAAAACTTTTTCCACTTCAGTTGAAGTAGAGAAGGTTTGTTCCTTGTCAGGGTTCATAGAAACAAAATCCGCACATGAACTGGCTCTATTGATGCTCATGGCAAAATTCCAGTAGACTTTATGAGAGCCAAATTCTGTCTCCATGCAGGCTTCAAAGAAAGCAACTCTCCATACAGCAGTGTGTTTGAGAAATAAGCCCCCCTTTGTGAAGGCATAGAGACCATATTGGCACCATTTAAAATCTCAAGAACAGGTACAAATTTAACCATGAGAAATGAACTATACCTGATAACTTTCAAAGGAAAGATGGAAAGATGATGCTAAAGAATATGTTTGAGTATTAGGTTTATTAGCAGCTTGTTAACATCAGTGAACAGCAGCAGTCTTTCTGAGGTTTTGGGGGTGTTGCTGTGGCTCTAGAGGAACAGAGCTAGAGGCCTTGTGTAGTCTGTTGGTTCCTACCTGCTATCCTCCATATGCCAAGATGGCTTTTGTCAAGTCTTGGAGGGCATGCAACTTGATCTGTGGTTTTCTTCTATCCCTGTGGCCTGCAGGCACATTCTGCCTCCCTTTTTCCATGAAGGTTCAGTTAGATTCTCACAGTACAGAACCAGTGCAATCATTCTTGTAGGGTAGGTTTCTGGAAGACGCAGACCCAAGCAGTCCTTCATGATGTGCTTCTCATTTGAAGTTTTGCTAAAATGGAAGTGAGTTTCATAAGACTTCCAGTTAAAATGGTCCTGAGACTGAGATGGAAAAAAGTAGGTTAGGTGTTGGAGGGGAAAAAGCAAATCAAAACCCTTAATCAGTTTGGAGTTTGTCAATTTGCGGCTTACTAACTACACAGGAAATTATTCTATCCTTACATGCTTTCGCCATTGTGGCTTTATCTGCTGTCATCAGCAAATTTATCAAATGAAGTTCTGTTGTCTGTGCCTAAGAATTACTGTACAGCACAGCTAGAACCTGAGCCATGGTGTTCTCCAATAGACCACCTACAACAGGAAGTTCAGGCTGTGAATTAATCATCAGGATTTTGCCCACTTTTAATCTGGCAACACTCTACATGACTGCAGTGGAGTCTTTAACTGGTGGCTTCTTGAATGCAAGAGGGTTTTATGGATTAGGTCTAGGCAAGTCCTGCCCTAGGCAAAGGTAGGGTAAGCATTTGCTTAGGGCAGCATGCGTTGGGCAGTGACTGTAAGCATGCAGTTTGCTTTGCCTAAAAGCAAACCCATGTAATGCCAGGCTGCTGCTGCCACGGTGCTGGAGTCTTACGTGAGAGTAGCAGTTGTGGCTTTTATTCCTCCTTTTATCCAAATGACAGCAGGAGCAGCAAGGCTATGTCTACAGAGCTTTTTCTTCCCTCTCTTGCCAGTAATGCTCTTCTCTGTTGCATCTCTTCTTCCCACAGCCACAGCTGCCCTTCAGCCCTGCTGAAGTCTGTTTTGCCTGCAGTGCTGAGGAGCAGGTGGAACAGCCCTGGCCCAGTCTTCTGCATTTACAGATTTACAAAGGATGATCATTTAGAAGTGCTTCAGGGATACTTCATATTTTTTCTATGGGGCCTAGTGTGTCTGGTGAGCTATGGAATACAGAAATTGGAAAAATACATGCTTTTACGGTACTTCCTATAGTTAGGGCACTTCTCAGATCCATTTAGATCCGCAGGGGCAGTCCTGAGCACACAAAGACCACACAAAACACAAGTGTTCTACACACAAGCAGTGTTATGCATAGTAACATAGTAGGGCTAAGAGATGTGACTAAGATGTCTGTTGACAAGGCTGCGTGCTAAAGCCATCATATTCACACCTGTATTCAATGTGGGTTGTATCACAGGGGCTCCTCAAGACTGTGGGTCACAGACTAAAGTACCTGTGTTGGTTTGTTGCATCTCATGTATGACCACTGTTATTGTGAAGCATTTGCTTTTTTTCTTAGTTGTGAAATGAATGGATTTGACATGTACTAGTACAGGGTTCAAATGTCTTTAGGAATAAAAGGCAATTGTAGCTTGTTATGTTTCTGTTTAAAATGTTTCTCCATTTGCCTTTTCTCTTTGTATAATTGATCTCTTAAAAAAGGGGGGTGCACCATGAACAGGAACATGGCCCTGGACTCAGGTGGGTCAGGTAGATGCTACACTTAAAGAGATAACAACTGTGTTACTGTAGTATTCCAATTGGTCCACAGTTCTCTTATGCTGTATTTTCTGTGAATACATAAATCTGGCTCCTCCTAGCTCAAGAAATTTTACTCTTCCTCACATGAGCCCTTAAGTCATCACCAGCAGAGAGGAGATTAATTTCACAGTGAAGGGAGTTGCTGTAAAATGTAAAATATGGGGACTTTTTAAAAAACCTTGGGTTTCCCTCAGAATTTCTAGCGTGCTTGCTGTAGAAGAGGCAACAACAGGCACACGTCTCAAACAAATTATGTTATTTTAGCTGGGCAAGTCCATCTCAGCCTGAGATGCATCCCCATGCACGCAGCGGTTAGGGGAATGTCTGCCCTAGAAAGGGTGTAGATAAAATAGAGGCTTTAAGACTGTTTTCTGTTAGTGTGCCTTGAATGAGGTGAGAAGGACCCTGATAAATCAGTTGTCTTCAGCCACTTGGGAGAAAACTGTAATAGAAATATACATTTCTTGCAACTAATAAAGAAGTAGTTTCCGAATGATGCTTGTAATTGGGGTGTTCATATACTTTATTTGATGTAAGGTTAGGGTGCCATATTCTGGATCTCAGTGACCAAAAGTTAAATTTTTAGCATAACTGTTCCTATAGCAATACATAACAGGGTGAACTATCATGATTCTTACAGGAGGTACAACAGAGATTCAAAATCCACCTCAAGGCAGGATGAAAAATACACAAAAAGCTGTTGCTTTCTTCCTAGCCTCTCTGACTCCAGTGGAACTGCAGTGCTGAACCTGGGAGGGGAGTTTTGATCTGCATCCTGCAGGCTTAAGTTTTTCTGTGTAGCTGAATCAAAATATGATCAGGTTAGGGCTGCTGTGCAGAGTGCTGCTGTTGTGAATTCACAGGAAAAAGCTCTGTCTTTGACTGTGGCTCTAATGTATTCACTTTTCATCACAAAGCTGCAGTGCATTGTATAAATGAGTCTGTTCTTTTCGCAGCTGCGAAACTCTGATGGAATGTGCTATTCAAACAAAGTATTATTTTAAATCAGTGTAACAGATGTGGCTTTAAAAAGCCATACACAAATCCTAGAACTAGCAGGTTTACCAATTCATCTGACATTGAACAACACAGATACAGTGATTTTTCCATTCAGAATTCCATTCTTTTTTTGAGTGTTTTGGCTTCCCAAACAATAATGTTAAGATGAGCTAGTTTTAGCTACAGCAGACGTGTATCTCTCTTATAATGTTAGACCATTCATGATCACATTTTGATTTTCATTGAAAAGAAGATTCTGTAAAATAATTGTCATTAAAAGGATTATTTAAACATTAGTTAACATTCTGAAATGGAAAATATTTAGTCCCTAAGAGCTTCCTAGGTAACTGCAAAGGAAAGTAAGAGTCTCAGCCTCTCACTTGTGTTCCCAGCTCCTGTGATGGAGTTCCTGTTCTTTAACCCCCATGCCAGCACTGGCACGGGAGGATCTATTCAGGTATTTATTTCCTTCATTGCTCAGGTGTGAATTTCTTCACCCTTTTCATACTTTGTTCAAAGGAAAAAGTTTCTCTTTCTTTAATTTTCTCACTAAGCTACTTATCTTGCTTTGGGAATTTTTAGTAGGAACAAGAGGGGCAGGGAACTGTTCAGTGCAAACATGCTCTGCTTTTATAAGTGGGATGTGAATACCCTGTGAGCACTTCTGCCTGGCCTTCAAACTATGATAGTCTGTCAACTGTGTTTCAGCATCATCTTGTGGAAGTGCCCCCTGCTGCCATGTACAAAGACTTACAACATACTACAACACTACAACTTTTAACTCTATTTTATAGAGTGTCTTTCATTCTACATGTGCTCAAAGTGCTTTGCAATATACAAACAGCAATAGAAAATGTACAAAACAAATATGTCTTCAAACACAGAAGCTGCTTTCTTCAGCTGGCAAAAGTGACACTTTCCACAACAGAATAGCAATAGAAATGAGCCTGTACTGACAGAAACATTCCAAATTCTCCCCATCTTAGGATAAATTTCATCTGAGCACGATTGCTCTTCATGACTTTATAATGAATTGAACCAAACATAAATTAAGAAAATAGAGATTTAGGTGAGAATACCAACCTAAATTTACTTCCAAAGCCTGTCACTGATTCTCTGCTTTGCATTTCTTTAGCAATTCTTCTCCAACACTGTGCCACATAGTTATTAAGCAGTGCTTAATTAAATTTCATTAATGCTGTGAGAAGGGGCTGTAACAGCAATCACTTTTGATAATTGTCGGTTGTATAAGTGAGTACTGCTAGTTTATATCTTAGAAGGATTATGTATTTTACAACTAAAAAAACAGCATCTGTGCTGCATCAGATCTGTTTTAAATGCTACTAAAACAGATGTATGTACATTCAGAATAACGTATAATTGAAATAATCAATCTATAGGTACGGAACAGCTATGGAAAACATGCATTTTCAGTGAGTATCAGAGTATGTCTCATAGATGCTGACCTGAATGTAGGTGGGCCTGAGAGCAAAGGAGGAAACAATTTGAGCAAGGGAAACCAGAGTAGGGTCTGAGAAAGGAAATGGAAAATCTATTGCCAGAGAGGAAGAAGACATAAGGAGCGTTGGGGAGGCTGAACGTGGAGGAAAAGGAAGGACTGAGGAATGAGTGGGGACAAAACTGAAGTGGACATGGGCTGCAGGGGAGTGTGGGGATGGACCTGTAGATTGGTCAGAGGGCTCTGGACCTGATGGCCTGAGGATTGAGCACAGGGACTCTATGCCATATCTGGGAACAGAGTCCAGTTGTCAGGGCAACATTCAGCTCCCTCAGTCCAGGAAGCTCTCATTTCCCCCCACCACTCTCTTCTGCATCACTAGCTGTGCATCTTCTGCTTGCTGCAACAAATGGTGTCTCAGTGTCCTACAGGCCACTGTCACTTTTGTCCTGGAGCAGGTATGATCTTTGCACAGAGGCTTGGATCCTTGGTGTGGGGAGAACACAGAATTACATCAACTGAGAGTTATATCTTGATGCATGTGGAAAGGAGGGAAATACATTTTGTAAATGCAGTAATTACATCTTGCACTTCATATTTCTTGAAGGCTCCAGTTTGTAAATTCAATTAAGTTCCTCTAACAAAGCAGCATGAGTGTGAGTGCGTGTAAGGAATACATATGCCTTGGGGTAATTGTCTTTGGCAAGGGGCTGAGCAACACATTGCAGGAAGGGGACAGCAATAGTCAGTGTTAAGTATTACTCTCCAGGATGGTTAACTTCGGTACATCTGCAGGTATTTGCAGTGCAGAGACTGGATTATTAGCCTGTGTAACAATACCATTTGCACTGCAGTTCTGTTTGCTCTTGCACACTGAGCAGGACCACATCTGTGGGGGATCTTTGACAGGAGTTCTGCAGAGGTCACTGACATGCCACGGATTCATGTTTGTTCAGTAAGTGACACTTTCATCCTGATGTCCCACTAAGCCAGCACACCAGAATGTCTTCCTTTGCCACTGTGCAGTATCTAGCTGTGTGTATGTTTTAGGTTCAAAATACAAAGTGCAGACACTGACTGGTTTTGACTGTTAAGAGATTTTATATGGAACTGGTTAGAAAACTGGGCTCTTAGCCCTCATGCATTGCCAAAGTTGTGTTTAGATAACTGTGCACTGCCTGTAGAAATCTCTTCCAGTTCTTCACTTATTCGTTACTAACCTAAGCTGAGCTCCAGTGTTGTTTTTCCCTGTTTCATGGGGTTTACGCAAGAATATTTGTAAAGAGGCATTTGTGTCTTGCCCGAGATGGGGGCTCTGCAGTGGGAACAACTGCAATAAGCCTAGCTTGCATATCTGCAGATTAAACCCAGAAGTTACATTATAAGCAGGCAGGCAGCCCGTCTTCACAGCAACACAGGACCTAATGCAGGCTCTCAGGGCCAAGCCCACAGCAGGACCCTGGACCATCAAGTAAATCACTGTAGAATCTAGGGAGACAGAAGGGCTCTGTATGAGTGTGTGGTACCTTTTTCAACACTGTAGTTTGCTCTGTGTGTGTGTTCTGCCAGTCCTCACCTATGCAATACAGCTGTTATCTGGGACTCCGGGAGGCTCTGGGGGGAAGAATGGTGTCATTTTGACAGTGAGATGCTATATCTGGTTGGATGGCCAGTGGGTACTCAGGAATCCATTTTTCCATCATCAGCAAGCTGGGCAGGAATTGGCACAGGAGTTTCTGTGAAAATTTTAAATCAGCTTTGCACTATACCCACTCTTGCCAGTCCCCTAGAATAAATTTGCGGGGCCCAATTTTTATTGTCCTTTATGTTCAGATTGTTAGGACTCACACTGGGACTTTATGGCCACTTAAGCATTATAATGGTATTGCTACGTCCTTTCCCTCCAGGCCTTCTGCACTGTGGGAGAGGCATAAAAAGACAGGAGTACAGTGAACCCCAACTTGTAGCTCAATAGATGGCTGGCATTACCACAGGATATAAAAAGGCTGAAATGGAGAGTGACGAGGGGAGTTCAGTACAATATTGCCAACAACATGTTACTTGCTCAACACTGTTACCAACTCTGTGGAATCAAAGCACAGTGCTGGCTACACAGGAATGGAGGGGCTTTCACTCAGGCTACAGAGTAGGAATAGCTTTTTGTACTTCGGAACCTGTGCTGGGTCGGAACTTGAAACCTGAAGATGAAAATGTCTGGGACTAGTCATTGTCCTGCAAGAATTACCCAGGCTTCCACATGTTACAGATTCAAAATGGAGTAGGCAGGCTCTTGTGTTCAAAAAAAGTTTTGGTTACAGCCCCTTGTTAGTTTAATTTTAGTTCTTATGAATTGACATATGGCAGGCATGATTTTTAATTAGAGCTTTAGCTGCGTTTTACTGGTAGGGTTGCAGAGCACTGTGGAATTTACATTAGGAAAAAAATGCTCTGTTGGTGGAGTACAAGGCTGTTTAGTAATCAGAGTGGAAAGTTAACTTTGAAACAAATTGGCAACTGATCAGATAAAATTCAAATCGGTAACATTTGTGTTGGAAACCAGCTCCGATCTGGGAAAAATGGAATCTAAGCTATTCTGTTCCTCTTGCTGAGGAACTGACCGATGAACACTTTGTGCACATCCAACTTCATGTGTAACACCCCCTAAAAACAAGCTCAATACTTTTATAGGGTTATCTGGGCACTTATCTGATTCCTTTTCACATTAGTGTAAAACTGTTACTTTGAAGAGAAGTTTCCTTACATACTTTACAAAACAAACAAGCCTCCTTTGTCAGTCAAAAACTAAAGGTCAAAAGTTCCCTCCCAGTTTGTTTTTCTTTTGGATCAACAGGGTGTAATGCAGAGATATGGGGAGATATTTGCTCCTCTGTGTTTGTATCAGATTCCCATCTTCCCCGTTCATTGTGTAAACTCTTTTGAGTACTGAAAGAGTTAATGGTGTGTTCAGGCCTCAACCAGCAAATACATTTAAAGCTCAGTCCAGCACTCACATGGTTTGTATTCTTGCTCTGCTGGAGTGGTGTGTTCATGGCATCTGGTTCCCTGGCAACAGCTTTCATTGGCTCAATCAAAGCCTTTTCTTCTTAAGAAAGCTCCCACTGTGACACCCTACCACCACCACTAATCACCATCTTAACTGAGTGTTTAAGATGCAGCTGGTATGAAAAATAGAGCTTGTGCATGTGAGAAGATTAAGAGGCTACCTTGCATAGTACACCTGCCCTGAAGAGTGCTCTCACTCGGTGGTGTTGGGCACACTAGGGGCTGTCTGCTTTCCTGCTAGAAGAGATGAGGCATCAGTACACGAAGAGTCTGCTTAGAA